CGCAGTAGTCATGAATTGCAAGCCTTTAAAGGACGAATTCACGCTGGGAAGGCAACCCATTTCAAATTAACTCAGGGATGGTGATTGGTACACGAAAGAAGGAAGAACCATGAGAAACGGCCCAGAACCCGAGAAATGGGACCCCTTCCTTCCCCGCTGATTTGCGCATTGATGCGACTCTTATCGCTGTGCCCTCCTCAACATCACGCTCTCTCTGCTATCTAAATCAATCCCACGCATCGATATCCGAAAGTTGGGGTAGGGTGTGTCACCGGAAGTGACGTGTGCTTGATAGAAGTGCGTGGATAAGCTGCTTCCAACATACATCGCTGGCTATCAGCAAAGCATGCTGGCAACAGCTTATCCACGCACTTCTATCAAGTGCACGTCACTTCCGGTGACACACCCACCCCAACTTTCGGATATCGACTGTATAGATCTGCGGCGAGTGATCAGCTGGTCGGTGGGCGGAGATCGCCAGACCCGCCAACTTTGAGGCATAATAGGTCGCCGAGGTCAAATTTTTCGATGCGAATTGCGCATCAGTTCGCACCCTCAGGAGGTCCGTGGGTTACTCAACTAGGTAAATTACTTCTTCCTCGACCTCCATTCTAATCGTAAAATCCTCCTTTAACAGAACTTTCGACTAATCGTTGGCGTTGTAGTAATCTCCGACCACACCCTCACAATCTTTGGGCTCTCGCTATTCTTACAAAAGCTTTTTGAACAATTGCTTCAGACCATATTTATTGCGAATCTCAACCAAGTGCACCTATAATCTCTCGACCTGCCGCTCACCACAGGCCTGTTTTGGTCTTGAGGCAGCTCGCTTGGAGATGAGTCAAAATGAAGCGCTCGAAAAACGAACACGAAAGAGCGCAAGGGCTTTCTTGAAGACCTAATGAAATGAACAGAGAGAGGTTATTTTCTCTCTCAAGAGAGAATAGAGGCGAGCTCAAATATTTCCGAGTAAAGAAATAATATTTATGTAATAATATTTAATAAATATATGTAATAATATTAACTAAATACTTCTCAAACTCGAGAGCAGTATATGCACTACATATTGGACTTCTTTGTAGTTGATTGGAACAAAACTCTTCCAAAAAGCTTTATTTGACGACGTTTCGGGCCGTAAGCCCTTCTTCAGGTCTATAACATCATCCATACATTACGTGCTTACATGAAAGAGTACCATATACAACATGTGTACGAAGCTAACTAACCACTTACGAAAGGGGGAATCCGGGTTGAGGGAGGTTCGTTGAGTTTGAGAATCGCTGAAGAATGATGGGCTAGAGATGAGGAAGAAAACGTGAAGGGGAACCAACTTCTCACATGGAAAGAAATAGAGCATCCACATAGAAGGGAGTCGTGGTAAGACGGTAGCATGCGATAATCTTTAATTTACCATCCGTCACGTAGCCATCATCTCAAAAAGTACATACTGGATTTAACTTGATTTCTGGGCCCATGGGAATTTTTTACAAAAATACTGAAATGGCCTTTAACACTTCAACACTTCAAAAATTTCTGTAAATACGAAAGTGTTGGTTTGAAAACGCAATTTGTATGCTTCAAATCACTAAGGTTGATCGGTGTTTACTGAGAGCAGTATTTTTTCAGATGTCGCTTCGAATTGTCATCATTCGATTTGATGCCCGATGCGTTCCTTCCCCGATGCGAGGTTGATTTCACTATGCCGTTGGCTACAGTATCGAATACGGTAGTGCGGTCGGTGTCAGTTGAACAGCATGAGGATTCGGACAGAGTGGAAAAGTTTGTACGATACGTTGCCAAATGCCAGTACAAGGTTCGTTCAACTCTTTCCGTAAAGATCAGTTCAAATCAGTAAATGAAATATTCAGGTGGAAATTGACTACGTACAGTGCGCTGATCTCGAAATTGATACTCTGGATCCGTCGACGAATCCCGATGAAGCAATGAATACCGTACCTGAGCTGCATCAACCAGCTTTCCAACCGGCTGAAATTGAACAAGTGCACGAAGGGTAAGCACAATAATCACTCATGGCACACAACGAGCAGTTTTGGTTTGAACATCTGCAGTATTCGTCCCTTTTGTAATAAAGGACGAAAATGGATTATTCTTGAAACCCTCTATGCGCCACGGGCCCTACAGAAAGGCCATGCTCAAAGTTAGCGAGAGGGGGTCATATTTGTAATTTTATGGCAATGAAGGTGGTGTGGAGGTTCTCCAGGGGTCACTGATTAGGAGCTTATGTAGAATAAAGGAAAGCATAATGTTTGATCCCCGACCGCGCGCGAGGTCAGAAGTTCAAGATTTCGATCCAACTTCGAATAGTTGCACTATGGTCAGATCAGGACTACTATAGGCCAGGTGCAAAGAAAAATGGTCTAGAGGCGATCTCCCGTCATCGGCCCCCTAAAAATGAGAATAGTGCCATATAAAATACCTTTCCGTATTTAAAACCAGAACACACCTTCAATTTTCACCGTCGAGCTCGTCTCCAACCCATCCGGGGACACATAACGGGCTGTGCCTATGGGTGATCCCATCCTTCGAAGTTACGTCAAAATATTTCTTCTCTTGTTCCACACGGAACTTTGGGTATAGGGTTAAGAAATGCCCTGATCTCGAATGTCGCATTCTTTTCTGGCACCAGCGCCATTTGGCGCCATTTTGGCGACACAACGTTTTTCCTTTTGTCGAAAACTCGTGGGGTTATTTATGACGCTGACCATGAATATGGCGCTATGGAGATAGTGCTATTTGGCAATCATCATGAAGCGTCGGTGAAGAATGCAAAACCCTAGGGCCTGGGTACTCAAACCACACACACACACCACACTTGCACCGTTTCAACGTTAGTCCGCCACACTATTCACTAGGCCACTTGAGCATAAGCAAGAGCCACAAGTGCGTGTGCCGAGAACGCTTAAAAGATCATAGCACCTTTCTTCAGCACATCGCTTGGACAACCGAATCATGTTGTCCAAAGTTTGCGTTATATTCAATGTAGGGCTAACGAGAACCTCTTAAACTGACAAAAGCCAACGCTCTGGACGAAACAGCACACAATGGAACGATAAAAACGGCAGTCCCTTAAGAAATTTTTCTTCGCTCTGTTTCTTGAATTCATGAGATTGAGGTGTGTTTTCAGACGCTGATCTCAAACCCACTCTACCAAATTTGCAGAACGACTCTCAGGAAAGTGTTACGAAGGTTGGTTCAATTGAAGCCTGCTGTAAGAGATTGCGGCAGACATAAACTGCCGATGGCGGCTTGGCGGAGATGCAGTGTTGGCGGGTGCAGTGGTGAGACCATGGAAAGGATCTAGTTAGGCGCGAATTTTTTGCTCTTTGTAATAGTCTGCTCTAGAATATGAAACACGCAATGGTGTAATTTACATCTGCGTCCAAAGCTATCACGTGTTTAGCGGATTTGCTTCAAGTATCACCCACTTTTCTCGCAATATTTCCGACCACCGTCGGATGTTTCAAAACAATGGAAGGTGACGTATCTCCGATGATGGGCTAAACAAGTGGGAGATGCTTGCTAACGGATCGAACTATCTTTGAAAGTTTGCTTATAGAAAGCTGACATTTGGACCCAATCGAAACTTGGTCGACAATCAGTCGTAAGTGCTATCCCTACTCCTGGCCACTACCCTCATGCTGTCCTACCATAATAGGCAAGAGCGTGTACTTGTGAAAATGCCATATGAACCTTCGGATGGCGCAAGCAAGTGAGGCAGACACGTATATCCCTTTCACAACAAAGATTGAAAGTTTCATCCTATGGATCAGGCTCTGACAATAGGTTGTGGATAAGATGAGTGCTCGCCTTTTCGACTTTGAGTCAAGTTCTAGATTTAGACCAAAAGCTGTAAGGGGTATCTCGGCTCGTTGAACACGAAGATCACCTCTGTTTGGCACGAAATTGCATGACGCGTGCGCTATGGGTGCTAAGGATGGTCATTTGCAAATGACGCGCACAGTGTTCAGAGCTCTTCGACAGCTCTTTCCACTTGTGATATAGGCGATTGCTGATGACTTAGCATGAACAAGAGTCCCTAAACAACGTCTCAAGAACAGCAGAAGTAAGAACTCGCCAAATCTTGAACTCACGGCATTTTCATTGTGATCCCGGGCCGCTGCCACTGCACTGTCTCGCTTCATAACTGCGCTCAGAATCGTTCCGCAGATTTGAAGGGCAGATTCGAGATCAGCGTCCAAAAACACATCTAGTGTGTATGTCTCGTCACGAATTGCCACTTCGACTTGATATCCTTCAATTGTGAGTCTAATCGTTGAGCAGAGAGAGGGCACTAGCGTTGGAGAGCCAATGCCAACGAGATTTTCATCAGTGCACAAATCAGCGAGCAAAGAAGGGCTCACTGGTTCTGCACCACTTCTCGCAGTTTTTCTTCATCCCTCAGTGACCACCTTTACATTGAGCTGATACCGGCCTTTCGAACTACGCCTCTATGTGGTACACTGCCGGTATTAGCCGTTTGGCTTACCAAGCTACAACTGTGAATTGTGATGAGCTGCCGCACGTATATTATCGGAAGCTAGAGAAAGCTTTGAGGATCCACGTAGCTTAAAAGATGCATTCTGTTCGGAAGGAATGAGTGCCGTTTCTTACCTGTCTTACTATTATAATTGTCAGTTGCGCAGATCGCAATACAGTATTAAAGTGTAATGCAAAATAACACGATTTTTTCTCAAGTGAGTTTTAAAAACTGTTCACCGCGGGCGGACTCGGAACCGCATCTCTCTTCATACAAGGGGGGCCAAAAAAAATAGACTCACTTCCCTGTACATTCAAAACGAATTAAAATACACGATGCAAACTAAACCGAATGAGCTTAACTGTATATTGAAGAGCGCAGTCTATTCTATCAAAAGGTTACATGACAGCCTTCTACACTGACGACATCAGAAGATTTTCCCACGGAAACATGGTTCACGGTACGAGCTCTCAACGAGGTCGTCGAGGTACCATAGACCATTACGACGTCCCTGAAACGCTGGTCAAAAGCGGTCTTGCACAGTCACAGCTAGTGTCTCTTAGAAGCTATTCACCATTAATCGGTTGAAGAAATTATGTAGCAGCTTTAAAAAAATTCACGAGCAAAAATAATGACTCTATTTCAGCCATAAATCACTGGCTTGAGACTCATTATCCACGATAAGAATGAAAAGAACAGAAATATTGCTTTGTTTTGGTAAAAAATTCGAAAAATCGAAAGGGCTGCTACGCGTTCAAAGTGCCCACGGACGTCTTTCACAAATGCTGGCGACGGGGATGCTTCCACTTGGTTCTTGGAGTGCCTTCACTAGAAACTCTTTCTGGCCTTCTGCTTCGTTGCATTCACATCTTACACTTCTATTTATCGATCGATTTTTGTCTCCACTCTCCGAAATCGCGCGCTTTAACCCGATTCTTTCATTGCGTCGCCTGATACGTAGCCGGCCAAAGGCCAACTTCTTTCCATGCCTCGCCTGGCTCCGCCCAATTACCTTCGATGGTCCATATACGTGTAGTTTTTGTACGTTTGTTTCTCTTCGGAAACCGAATCTGCAAAACTTTGTGTGCTGTTTCCACTGATCACAGTTGACACATTCATGTCAAGTAAGGATGCAAGAATTTCCCGCGAAGGATTCCTTTGAGGCTGGAGCGATTGCGGTAAGCCTCGTTGAGCCGACGGTGACGGCAGATGACGTCATATTCTGAAGGCGGTGGTAGCAGTGAAGGACGCCCTGCTTCTGCTTTTGGGGAAACACCTGAGGAATATTCTTGCCGTTAAACATTCATCAAACAACGCATCCTCAAAGGTTGAGGGATGTGCACCATGCCAAAGTGACTCTTTTTTTTTGCCACCCCCCCCCCCCTGTACACTACACAAGATTTCTTGCAATTCTCATATCAAACAGCATAGTCAGAAGTGCAAAGCAGATTCATTATTGTCATATCTAACCTTTTCAAAACCTTCTTAACATGTTTCCAGTACCTCTAGTACCTCTATCCTCTCCCATACCCGAAGCTTGAGCATGTGAGTGATTCTAGTATAATAGAAAATCAGAATGAAAACCTTGCCAGAGGTCTTTACTTGTCATACAAAAATAGGACCGTTCACAACTCCCACGCCGTTTTAATCACGGAGTGATAATGTTCATAGTTCATAATCATGGAATGATGTTCCCTCAAGACTGTAATTCAGAAACAAGCTGGGGCGCGTGGTGCGTCAAAAGCAACATATCACTGTGTTCGTATCCGCACAATGATGAGAACTGTAGATTTCAGGGCCATTTTATCACCTTTCTATCCAAATGATCGTTTCCAACAAGTGCAGGACAGAGTCCGACAAACTGTCCATATATCCCTTGCTGCGCCCCTAGGAGCTCTGCCCACCCTATTCAAAAGCATGCCTGGATAAAATAGGCGTGTAAAGCCTTTCCGTAATAAACTATTGTTGCGGAGTGGTCCGGAAAGAGTAAAGAGCAAGGGGGACTCCAATCAACTTCCGGGGACGAATAGGTGGATTTCGGGTAGAACAGGCTTCTAGCGCCTCTGTCACGCACTTTCGAGCCGCAAAAGCGGCGCGTCATCAACGCTTGTCCAAAGGCCTACTACTCTCGGTGATGGAGCAGGTGAGCACGCCGCGGAGTGTGCCATAAATCCGTAGATTTCAATTCCGGAGCGTGCCTTTAATAGCGGCCATATTTCTATAAAGCATTATTAGGAGTTTGAGGTCAGTTGATAGGCGTAATTTGTTATTGCTTAGGCGAATTAATTATTGGACATTCTGTCAATAATATTAACAATAAATAATTAATTAAAATGGTGATAAAAATTTGTGACTCCAGATCAATGAGAGGACGAGACGTTCGCGCGACGTCACACGCGCGTGAACGTTGGATGTGAAGCGAATTGCCGAAGAATAACCACAACCGGTTTGAGATCAAGAAGTGGACGATTTTTCTGTAGGGGAAGTGAGAAAACTGAGATCATCAAAAGAAAT